AATCCTATAGTTTATCCACTTTGTAGAAAATAAGCAATGAGATATGCTAGCCCCAGATTAAAGCACATTCTTCCCAGAGATATCTGATCAAGATGGCAGCATAGGTAAACATGGCTAGCCTCCTTGCACAACCACATCAAAATTCCAACAAAATTATAAAACAACCATTACACAGAACTGTCAGAAATCCAGTTGAATAGAAGTCTGACAGCTACAGAATTTTAAAAAAACACATACATCCAGACTGGGAGGAGGGGCAGAGACAGAATGGGTTGGTACCACATCCATGTGTGGTGGATAAAAATTCAGGAGTGATATCTTGGGAGCAAGGCGTCCCAGCCCCACACCAAACCCTCCCAGCTCAGGTCCCAGTGCCAGGAAGCTAAGACCCTGTAACTTCTGGCTGCAAAAATCAGCAGGGATTGAGTCCGTGGAAGAAATTTTTGGAGTCCCAAGCAGTTTCTCTTAAAGAACCCACACACAGACTTACTCAGACTCACTCCCTCTGAGCTCCAGCACTGGAGTAGCAGCTTGAAACGCACCAGGGGCATACAGGAAGGAACTGAAATGTCTGACATCAAGGTGAGACCTGGGGGACAGCTTACTCACAGAGAGAAAGGCGGGCAGAGGCCATTGCCCCTTTTCTGAACCCTCTCCTCACAGAGCCACAGAGCCAGCAGACAGGTGCCATATCTGAGACTCTACCAACCTGGCTAACACTGGTTGCCCTGCCTGGAAGATCCCTTGAGGCTCCATCCCTCCCAACTTACAGGTTCACTCAAGCTGTTAAAAGTGGCTTTTCTCTATGAATGGTTGGTCTTGGCTTGTGCTTCACAACTTTCTAAATCCTCTCAAACAAGCAACAGCTGGCCACAGTGAGCCCCAAGCCCCCATACCTCTTGCTAAGTGGCCCCAGGTCTGGCACTAGCAGCAGCCAGCTTAGATTCACAGCTTGGCTTTGCCTGGGAATCTCCAAGCCTAGCACAAGTAGCAGCCATCTCAGATTGCTTTATAGCTCATTCAGGGTGGTCCTGGGCAGAACACAGTTTGGAGCTAACCTTGGCCTGCACCACCGGGAAACCCCAGGGCCAGCATACTTAGTGGACAGCTACAGACTATATTGGAGCACCACCACCCTGCCCCTGCCCCTGCCCAGCTGATCCTCCACGGAGGGCGGAGGTTGGTTGTCAGTGGTCACAGCCAGTCCTTGTAGCTGACTGGCCTGGGTAAATACCTCCCATTGACCTGCCAAAAGTAACCAAGGCTCAACTACAAGAGGAGGGTGTACTCAGCCCACACGAAGGCAGCACCTCGAGTACCCAGCTTGGGTGATACTGGAGGCTGTGCCACTGGACCCTACAGGACACCTACTGCATTAGGCCACACTACCAAGACACAGAGTCGAAGCAGCTCTATCTAATACATAGAAACAAACACAGGGAGGCTGCCAAAATGAGGAGACAAACATGGCCCAAATGAAAGGACAGATCAAAAGTCCAGAAAAAGAGCTAAACAAAATGGAGATAAGCAATCTATCAGATGCAGAGTTCAAAACACTGATTATAAGGATGCTCAGGGAACTTAGTGAGGACCTCAACAGCATAAAAAAAGATCCAGTCAGAAATGAAGGATACATTGATTGACATAAAGAACAATTTACAGGGAAACAGCAGTAGAATGGAAGAAGCCAAGAATCAAGTCAATGATTTGGAACAGAAGGACGCAAAAAACCAATCAGGACAATCAGAATGCTTGGAGTTCCCATAAGACTGTCAGCTGATTTCTAAAAAGAAACTTTGCAGTTTAATGGGGATAATGAGGTATTATTACTTGCCAAGATTTTAGCACAGTGCCTGACATGGTAATTACTCAGGAAATGGAAACAACTCTTAAGAATGCATTGTTGAAATTATTATTATCTTTATTACTCTTACTGGAAGAATAATATTGGAGATTTAGAACTCAGATAAGCACATTCTGCACCTTGAAATGGGGCTCAAGATAATGGAATGGACAATAAACCAAAGAGTTGGTGAATTTGATTTTAGCTTCAGCTTTCCCCTGGCTAGCTATATGACTTGGTTAAGTCATTTGCCTCTCTTGAGGGTTTGGTTTCTTCATTAGACAAATAAGGAGGTTTGATTTGATTTGATTATCAAAGGCTGCCAGCTGTTTTGAGTGGTTCTGATTGTGGGATATGGGTCATCACAAATTTGGAGCATTTTTTATTTTGTTTGGTTTACCTGGCTATCCAAATAATACACAAAGTAATCTAGAATGTTGATGTGGCCATAGCTGCTTTCTTGTTTTCATCATGAGTGACTAATGGTCACCAGGGGCCATGTTAGTAAGCCTGGGACAATTTTGAACTGTTTTTGAAGCTATATGTAATTAATTTCTTAATTAGGAGCTGTTGATGTTTAGTGCTAGTAAAATTGCATCATAAAACTGAGGCATTTTTGAAGAATTTAGTGTCAAAAGGAAAAGATGAATAAACTTGTTTTATACATGTGACTAACATGTAAGGTATATTTCATATATGCTTGCCAAGCAGGGAGGCACTTGACTCATCATTGCCATCTATAAAAAATTCCTAAGAATTTCTAGCCGCATGGCCTACAATTAAAATAACTTTCATGTTCTTGATTTACTTGTTTTATTCTTTCCAGATCTGAGATTATATAGTTTTATGCATTTCAGTCTCTTGATAAGGTAGATCTGGATTTGGTAGTGATGAAGTTGAAATTAAGCAAGATAAGAATTTTAAAGCCTTTTATGGGTGCTTTTTAAAATGGATGCGTATATAAGTGTGAATGTATATGTGTATGCTGGTATAGCATGAGCCGATCACTAATTTTTTTCACTTAAGAAATTATCCCACTTGTACAGTTTTCTTATTCTTTTGAATGACTGCAGAGTAGTCCATTGAATAGATTCTTTTAAGTAACCAGTGTCTTTATGATGGACATTTAGGATTTTTTCTAACATCTACTATACCTACAATAATTCTCTAATGATTGCCTTGTACAAATGAGAGTTTGTGCGTTAGTGTATCTGTAAGTTAAGTTGGGTCAGAAGATATGGGCATTTGTAATTTTGATTGAAATAGAAAATTACTCTTCATGGAAGTTGAACCAATACAGGATGGGCAAAAAGTAGGTTTACAAGTTATATGGAAAATAATACAATAATTAATAACCAATAATACAAGAATAAACTGTTTTGTGTTCTCACAACTGTAAGCCTCCTTTTGCCAATCTCTGTATACAGCCACAGTGCACGAGTGAGCCTGTTTCTGCGCAGTCACTTTTTTCCCTCTAAGTACCTCTGTCTTTCTGTACTATCAAGTAATTTGAATACTCCTGTACTACACTATGTTTTCTCTGGGAAAATGCTAATTAGATGGGTGCTCATTATGTGCAAATTTCACAGAGATTAAATCTTACACTGAAGACCACTTTCTTAACTCTACTTACGGCTGAATTAAATGGCTGCATTGTTAGGCAACTTGGAGTGTACTTTACGTTGCTTCAGAGCACAATTATACCAGTGTAGGAAATCCTTCAATATGCAAATTATCTCGACTAAAGTCTCCCATGGAGATTTATTCTCATAACATAAGGAAACACACTATGCATATTATATAGAAGGCTTGGCTATAAATAGCACTTTATTTTTTTTTAATTCAGAAGGAAAAGGCATTATTTTTAGATACTGTTTTTATGTTATCAAAAAAATGAATATTAGTTGGTGGAGGCTGACTGAAACACAAGATATCCTCTTAGTCCTTTATTCATGAGCATTTGATTATGTACGTGGTGGCGCACACACACAGCCTGTAGATTTGACAGTTAAAGCTTCTGTGGATTCTTTAAGAAAACAGAGTGGGTCATGTTACAGAAAGACACGGTGCACTCTTTCTCTTCCACATTTAGGACTTTATACACAGATTTAAGAAAATTGTAAAAGATATTCAAAACTATTATTTCTTTTTTCTCTTTGGGCTGCATATTCGCTGATACGAAAGTCATTATTGAAATGAACAGACGTTTTATTTATTTTTTTTATGCTAATGTGGTCCTTTCTAAAATTGACCACTTTTCTAATACTGAGCTTTTTTCCCCTGTTTGCTTTTATAAAAGAACAGATGTTCAAGAACTTCTTTTTTATGAAGTTTTCCTTCTGAGTTTGACTTTCAGATATCTTCCTTAACACATCACTGTAGTAATTCACTTATAAGGAAAAATGTTTTTATTACTGACCTATTTGAAAAGCAGCTGTAGTGTTAGATGTAATATTTACAGTGAAGATACTGGCTAAGTCCCATAGACTGCCCCATTAAAGAAAATTAATTAAAGAAAATTTCTTGGAGTTACTCAGATAAAAACACAAAATAAAAAGTTATTATTAAGCAATTAGCTTTTATGTTTTCTTTTTCAGCATATATGTTACCTTCTAGAAACACTATCTGCTTATAGCTAGACACTGTGGAATTTAAAGTTGTTCTAGCCCCTGAGGAAAGCTGTTCGCTGTGTTGTTCAGACAGTGGAAGGACAAAGTGAGGTTTTGTTTTGGTGCATGTTACTCTGGGCTCACCCCTGCTCCACAAATCACTGAAGCTCATGCCTGTTCAAGCTAAGGCAACAAAATAGTTTTCCCTGAACCATAGTACCCCCTAGCATCCTAACAACTTTACGTTTTTAAAACTCCAAGGAACATTTCGTTTATGCTTTTAAGAACAACTATTATATCTGGTATGGTCTAATTTCTATGTATTCTTAAGACTAAGAAGAGACCTTTGAAAGAGTCCATAGACATTTTTGGGAATGTGAAGAAGCATCACTCTTTTTTTTTTGCAAATAATTGTTACATTACTTTTCTGTGTTTGTGTCTGGATGCAGATCATAAACTATGGCTAGACGTCTTGTGCTCTATGTAGAAATGATAGTGACAGGGTTTTTCCAGCCTATTGCCTAACCATGCTTAACTGTGTGTTGCAGGTGCTTCTCCCAGCCGCTGGCCTGTTACAGTTACAGGATGTGAAGAAGACTTGCTGTGAATTTTTGGAATCTCAACTTCACCCTGTCAACTGCTTAGGAATTCGGGCTTTTGCTGATATGCATGCGTGCACTGACCTCCTGAACAAGGCCAACACCTATGCAGGCAAGTCAAATAGACATCCGCTGAGTTAGAGACCAGGAAGAATCTGGTAATCTTGAGTTACGCAATTAATCTAGAGTGATTTCTGGAAAGTCATATCCCATTTCTGGATCTGGGCTTTATAAATATACATTAAAAAGGTTATAATGGTAGCACTGCATAATTGAAGCGTGCTCATAAAATTCTGAACTTAAAAAAAGAAAATCCCACCAGAAATTGGTATTCGGCCTAAGTAATAGAACAGCTAGTTTTATGCAAGTATTGAATCCTTGTGTGTTTTTCTTTCATATTTTTAAATACTCATATAAGAAAATATTTACATATGGAATGAAGTCATTTTATCTCTGTGGCTTTTGACACCCTCCTTTTGAATCCATTAAAACAATCTTGTGGCTTAAAAATCTTCAAAGCAATCAAAATAGATGCCTTTGGGTAGAGTAGAAAAGTAGATTCAATATAGGCAGCCTCTCTTAGACAGTGGTTTCCAGGATCTTGTATGTGTGGCAGAGGGAGGGCTCATTGCTGTTGTCAAGGAAGCCATAACTTGGTTGCTATGTAGGACCCTGAGATCTCTTCAGCCAAGGGGGAGAAATTCTTGTTATGGCTTTGGATGCAACTAAAGTACACAGAAGTAACCAATAACTTATTTTTCTTTCAGTTTGTAAACTTAAAATATTTTAAAAGTGATTATTAGGAATTTTCTGTTTCTTTAACCATCTTTCTGGGAGGTATATCTTGTGGAAGTTATAGTCCACCATCAGTCCTCTGTATCTGTGAGATCTAGTAGGGTGAGTTACTATAGGACCTTCCATGACCACTGCCTCTTAGTGAGCTCTGTAACCCCTCCTTCTCCAGCCTTCAAACGTGAGAGCCCCTCTTCTAAACTATGCTTCACCGCGTTTACTCTGATGAGTAAGAGACATTTTGACACATAGACCTGGGGGGTGGGTGTGGGGGTGTGTGTGTGTGTCTGTGAGTGATGAGTAAGAGACATTTTGACACATAGACCTGGGGGGGCGGGGGGAGGGTGGGGTGTGTGTGTGTGTGTGTGTGTGTGTGTGTGTGTGTGATGAGTAAGAGACATTTTGACACATAGACCTGGTGAGAGGGGTGTGGGTGTGTGTTGGGGGGGGGGTGTGCACACATGTGTGCACATGCAGGGCACTGGAAAGGCAAAGTATTTCCAGGTTTCCTGTTGCATTTATTGAAGAAATAATGGTATAAGGTAGTTAGTTGAAAACAAAAAAACAACGACAAGAAATGCTTCAGTAAAACACAATAGGTCTAGTAAATTTAGCTTTATAGATTTCTACTGGGTGGCCTGATTTAGCCTATCTACCCTTTGTAAAATTGTTTCAGTAGAAAAATGTGGTCCAAGTTCCACAAAGCTTATTTATGGATGAACTTTTAGGACACAACCCTTTTGTAAGTTGGGGAATACCTGTCATATTAATGATATTCACATAATCCTTTTGAGTGGGATGAGGCATTTTAAGAAAAATCAAGGACAAATTTGAATCCATTCGTGTGTTCCCATACAACCAATTCTGTTCTTCAGCAAATAGAAAATATTCCTTTTAAACTCGTAAGGTCCATTAGCTGCTACACATAATGTGCCTGTTTTAAGTAGTTTTTATTAGGAAAATCAAGGAAGCGTATATATTTTTTGATAGTTTTTTCCTGCATAAAGCAATCACTAACATATCTTTCTTGGGCTGCTAGTTGTCTCTAAAGTGCTTGATAAATGTTACTGACTCTTAAGAGATAGGAAGAGGGGCTGGGAAGAAAACAAATAAAGCAGGATTAATTGAAAAGATGTCCAGATATATGTTTTACATGATGTGCTAGAACTCATAGTTTTACTCTGTCAGACACAACTCATTTACTGTGCTTTCAGGAAATAGGTTTTTTAATTTCTTTTTTTAATTTAAAGTCTTATTATAGTATACTACAAAATATGAACAATTTTCCACCAAAATTAGAGCATCTCCATATTTTAGTTTGTAGAGTCCTTCTTTGTAATTATGCCAAGATTTTTTTGTGGAAAAGTTATTGTCACTTTCCGAAAAACTATAAAGAAAAATTGGGTTTTTGTCTTTTTAAAAAGATTTCATTTACTTTTAGAGAGAAGGGAAGGGAGGGAGAAAGAAGGAGAGAGAGAAACATTGATTGGTTTCCTCAACCGGGCCTGCAGCCCAGGCATGTGCCCTGACTGGGAATGGAACTGGCGACCTTTCGATTCGCAGGAACAATGCCCAACCCACCGAGCCACACCTGTCTGGGCCCATTCTCTTCTTGCTCCGAACTCTCATTAATCTGTTGATGCATCCCAGGCTTGTCCAGGCACCTCACACTGCTCTTTTCTTAGCCTTTCCTCTGTGCTTGCGCACTGGTCAGCTGTTTTGTATGTCCAGCTTTTACATGTGTGCCTTCTCTTCCATTGTCTTAAGTGAAGCTTTGCTTTCCCCCGACACTGCATGTTGGGGCAATCTTCTTTAAGGGACCATTCCCCTGACTCACTGGGGGTTTGTGTAGAAGGGTGTCTGTCTCCTGCAGACCATTGGTCTGTCATTGTCACCATGCTCAGTTCTGCACTGCTGGCTGGTTCTCATTCTGCAGCATTCTCTCTGTGGCCCATTTTCTCTCTGGGCCTTCGGGCATACTTCTGTCTTTGGCACTTAGGTTGTCTCTTCCCACTACTCTTGATTTTCCCTGCCACCAGCAACTTCCAAATACGTTCTGGCTCCTTTGAGACCCCCTTTCATCGTTCCTTGTGACTACCACCTGTCCTCCAGAAATCTGCTTGCCACGGTAGACCACAGTTCCAGAGCATGAAGTACCTTGTTGGTATTTGGAACTCCAAGGTCTCATCTTTTGTGCTGAACATGTTCCTACCTTTTCCTGTGCTTATGTTTCTTCATAAATATATACTCTCTGGTCCCAGTTTCCCCAGCTATCTCTTGGCTGCTCAGTTAAGACCCAGTGGTCAGTCACTTGAGAGCTACCTTCTTTATGTGCCTGGCACTGCCCAGACTGCTGAGGGTGACAGGCTCAGTACAATTGAATCTCTGCTTACAAGGAGTTTATAGGCCAGTAATAGTCAACTTACACCCAAATTTAGTGTATTCAGATTATGCTTCATTCTCTGTAAAAGCAGTTCTCATAACAGTTTCTTCTGCAATCACTCCACTTCAGTCGTTTGCCCACTTTTCTATAATTTAGGCTAGGAATCACTGCTTGGGGTAAACATCTGTCAAAATAGGTTCATGATTTTGGAAGCCGCCCTTTTGAAATGAAACTTGTGTTGAGACAGTGGTTTTAACAATAGTATTACTAGTTTTGAGACAGTGGTTTTAATAACGGTATTACTAGTTTTGACTATGTGATATGCATACCAAAGAACAGATGATGATTATTCAGGATCTATTGCAATGTTAATTGACTGATACAGAAGATTTTTTTCTTTGGAGAACTGTGAAAGCATTTGGTATATAGCAGTTTTTTAAAAAATCAAATTTACCATCTTAATAATTTTTTAAAAGATTTTATTTATTTATTTTTAGAGAGAGGGGAAGGGAGGGAGAAAAGGAGAGAAATATCAGTGTGTGTTTGCCTCTTGTGTCCCCTCTACCAGAGACCTGGCCTGCAACCCAGGCATGCACCCGACTGGGAATCGAACTGGCGACCCTTTGGTTCACAAGCCGGCACTCAGTCCACTGAGCCACACCAGCCAGGGCTGATGTACAGTACTTCTAGATTGAATTTATGCCAACTTAAATGACACTTCTTAAAAGAATGAACCATTTTTATATTCTTGCATTCATTATGGCCCTCATATATGCCCTAGCAAACTACATGCAGTCTCTGTGTTCTTCTTTATTGACAGTTTTTCCAGGTGAGATGAGAGAGCTGTTTTGAGGTTTCACCGGAAGTGTCTGCGTTAATGGAACTGCTGGAGATGTATATGTGAATTTTTTTCCCTAGAAACTAATAGTATTCAGGATCAAAGAATTATAGAGTGTTAAAACTTGTAGGGAACCTTAGCATTTATTTCTCATCTCAGCTTTGTGACATGTATTAGGCTTCTGTTGACCAAACCAATTCAAAGATTTTAGGGTTTTAGTTGATAGTACAATATATTCAACAGAAATCAATAATGTAATTAATTGCATCCCAAAAGATGCAAAGTGATGATTACATTTTGTTCTGTCCAGATCAGACCATATTCATGAAATTGAGTTCATTTTCAGGTTACATTTTTTGGTAGAGATTGAGGAACTGAATCCCAGAGAAAGCCTCAGAAGCTCAGAAGCAGGGCTGTTGGAAGGTATTTCTCTCCCAAAGGCAGTTAGTGAAGATTGGAGGAGGTGACCAGCACTTTAAATGCAAAGACAGCATTGCAAAACTCCAAGGAACATAAAAGTGAAGGACATATTACACCATAGAAGGATCATCATAATCTTCAAGTAACTGAACCCAAAGATATGAAAATCTATGATTTACCCAATAAAGCATTCAAATAGCTATTTTATGGAAACTCGGTGAGCTACAAGAAAACACAGAAAGACAGTTTAACAAAATTAGGAAAATAATACAACAAAGGGAGAAGTTTAACAAAGAGAAATCATAACCCACAGAAATTCTGGAGCTGAATAAGTCAATGAATGAAATAAAGAATGCATCAGTGAACATTGTTTGCAGACTGGATCAAGCAGAAGAATCATTTAGGTTGAAGAAAGAAATTTTGAAACTATCCAGTCAGAGGAGAACAAAGGAAAAAGATTGAAAAACAATAAGAAAGCCTCTAAGACCTATGGGATACCATCACAAGGACCAATCTGTGAAGCATTGGAGTTTCAGAAATAAAAAGGGGCACAAAGCTTATTGAAAGAAAGAATGATCGACAACTTCCCAAATCAGGGAAGAGATTTGGATGTTGAAGTTCATGGAGCTTATAGGTTACCAATAAAAATCAACTTAAGAACCCTTCTCCATTCTTTTTCATGTGGATATCCAGTTTTCCCAATATTATTTGTTGAACAGACTATCCATTTCCCATTGAGGGGTCTTGGAACCAATGTTGAGATCATTTGCCTGGAGGAAGTACAGCTCTGTTTTTCATTATTGGGTTAAATTAAGAATATATTAAAATGTATATATTCTTTTTTCCCCTGACCAATGTGGTTCAGTTTGTTAGGCATCATCCTGCAAAATGAAAGGTCGCTGGTTTGATTCCCAGTCAGGGCACATGCCTGGGTTGCCAGTTCAGTCCCAGGTTGGGGCACATGCTAGAGGCAACCAATCGTTTCTCTCTCAAATCATTGCTTCTCTCTCTCCCCTTATATCTTTCTTCCCTTCTCCTAAAAAATAAATTATTAAAAAGAAAAAGAGAAGCCTCTTCTTTTTTTTAAGCAGTTCAAAACTATGATAATGGAATGTTGGTGTTAATAGAGTTCCTTTTTAATCTCTAAACAGAGCAACATTTTGCAGATGTCGTACTTAGTGAAGAATTTCTTAATCTCGGCATTGAACAAGTGTGCAGCTTAATCTCAAGTGACAAACTTACCATATCTTCTGAAGAGAAGGTAAGTATATATTTCTTTTCCCCGTGTACAGTGATGTAGTACTTTTTTTAAATTCCATTTTGTTTTGTAATTTTGTGATCCTGTATGTGTAATGCTGGCCAGTGATATTTGATCTGGAAGTGAAGAAACTCAGTTGACTTGATTGTCTGTGTAAATTACTGTGTTTCTTCACTCTTGAGGAGGTTTCCTAAACTGTTACACATTAGAATTTTGTACTTGACCTCTACAGCAAGAGCTTGCACATATGAAACTGTCTGAAAGAAGTGTCTTTTGGGAACCAGGTTTCTTCCCACAGCTAGATTCCTGTAAGAATGTGATCTAAATCTAGTATTTCTCAAACCAAAGTAATTTCACCATGATGTAAGTTGGAAGAAGTTTTCCTGGGTGGCACAGTTAAGCTGCTTCCAGACCAAACATCCTTGATCATGCTCTTCCTTTAGACTGGTCCCCTGTTACTCACACCTAGGCCTACCAGGGCTCTGCCCGCCCTCCCAGAGGACTGTAGCTGCTTCGTTGCTTGCAGCCTTCTGTCTCTCCATGTTTGGGGTTGCCTTTTTCAGCCACCTATGCCTTTCATATAGATGGAGGGAGTGGCTTCTCTTAGTGGGTTTTTTTCCTTTGGGTAGGTTTTATAGCTCATATGTGTCAGGGCATGAAAGTGTATGAACACATTATGTTTGGAGGAAGTAAAACTGGAGCCTTTCTTTTGTATACTTTGTATGTAAAGTTGTGTAAACTTTAATTCTATTCCTCAGGGGTATTCATTCCACCTGAGGCTAGAAAGACACATTTAACTCTAATATTTACCATATAAAAAATATCTGAAAATTGTTTGTGAGGTGTATAATCTTAGCACTCTAGAAATACAGAGAAGAAAAAGGCATTCCCATTCACATTTGATAGTCATGTATTGAGTGCCTACCGTGTGCCAGACACGGCCATAGAGACTTAGGTACAAGAAGATTAACAAAATAGAATTCTTTGCTCATAGGTTAGAGGGACAACCCGTGGGGAAAATGATGACAGAATGCTGGGTACTGAAGGAGATTTAATCATTCCTGTGATGGTGTTGGGAATGGGAGTTCAGCTTCGTGCAGATGTCTGATCCGAGTTTTTAAAAATGTGTTCGAGTTTGCCATGGAAATAAAGATGGGTGGGAATGGGAAGGGCATTCCGGGAGTGCGAACAGAACATGCAGGTGTGAAGACGTGTGAAAGAATAATTGCGTGTAGTTGCTTCAGTATGGTTAGGGTTTAGAGTATGTTTGGCAGAGTGGTAGGAGAAGGGATGGGAAGATGACGTAATAAAATGTATTCTCGGTCATATTAAAGAAAATTGACTTCATACTAGTAATGAAGAACCTGTAAGAGGTTTTAAGCAACAGGAGAATACTGTCAGCATACCTGCATTATAAAAGTGCCATGAAGACTCTTCTGGTTTTCTATTGCTGCATAACAAGCTACCCCAAAATGTAGTGACATAAAACAACCATCTTATGCTCACAATTCTGTAGGCAGAATTCATGCAGGGCATATAGGGATAGCTTGCCCTTTCTCTGCAGGGTTGGGGGAGTCAGCTGGGGTGGTTTGAATGACTGGAGGTTTCTGGAATGGTTCTGCTGGGGCTCTAGCCCTTTTGCACGTTCCATCTTGTGTCTGAAATATCCATGATGGCTCCTTCACTCACTTGTCTGGCTCTTGGGCTAGGGGGTTCGTTGGTATCTCTCCTTCCCTTTCCCTCTCTCTTTTGCCCCTCCTTCTTTCTCTCTGTGGACAACTTCGGTTTTTCTTAGCTTAGTGATCTCAAGTAATCAGACTTCTTACATGACCTCTGGCTTCCCTCAAATGAGCATTTCAAGAGACCAGCGTGAAACCGAAAAGGCCATGACTCAGTGTTAGAAGTCCCACAGTGCCACTTCCACCACATTCTGTTGGTTGTACAAGGCTAGCTTACATTCCCTGTGGGCAGTTACCTCGTAAGGTGTGGATACCAGGAGATGTCTTTTATTAGGGGACCAGCTTTGGAGACTGACTATCACAGTGGTAGTGTGCAGAATGGACTAAAAGTGGGGTGGGGGGTTAGGTAGGAGGACGTTGAAGTCATATCCATGAGCAGTAGGATCTGATGGGGAATGGTAGAATTGGGTGGAGAAGAGAAGGCAGAGCTGAGAAACAGTAGATAGAATTGACAGGCCCCTCTTCTCTAGCACCTGGCACATAGAGGCACTAGATGGATTTGTTGACTGAATGAATTAAAGAGGCATGTTAATTACAATGTAGATTATTTTTAGTTTTTTGCTCTATTCCTGGATCAAAGTGACCTATTTTTTTGCTTCCAATAACCCATTTACATATCAAACATTTTCTGCAACCTTTTAAAGATTACTGGGTTATATATTCAACAGTCTGCAAGGAAATGATGTAGTCTGATCCCATCTTCATATTAGTTTGTTAGCTTTTTCATAGGTATATATTGTAAGTTGTATGCCCTAATTTATTTTTAATTCAAAATACTACATTTTAATATATTCTATTGTGACAAAAGAGAGTTTTTATTTATTTTTCTTATCCTCACCTGAGGACATACTTACAGATTTTAGAGAGAGGGGAAGGGGAGGGAAAGAGGGAGGGAGGGAGAGAAATACTGACATGAGAGAGAAACATGGATATGTTGCCTCTCATACACACCCCAGTCAGGGACCCAACCCTCAACCTAGGCATGTGCCCTGCAGAAATCAACCCTGCAGTCTTATGGTTTACGGTACACACTCCAGCCATTTGAGCCACACCAGCCAAGGCACAAAAGAGAGTTTTTATCTATTCTTCAGAATCTCAGTTTAGAAGTAGATGGTCCAACATTTGTTTGTAAATCTAGAGAAAAAGCCAAAGATAAGTTGATTATAAGGACATGTGATTTTCATCCCAGAATGTCTTTGATTTATTATTTTGGTTGCTTTATTCCAAAGGGACTTGAGATTTAAATGTAGACAAATAGAACCAAATTCAATTTGGAAAGGTTATCAACAGTGAATTAGATTCTATATCATCAGATTATCACAGCTACCACTCAAGTTCAAGATTTGATAATGGACTTGGTGAAATGCTTAATAAATACCAAATGAAAGGTACTCACTAAATACATAAAAGTACTATAAAAGTACTGATTAAATTAAAAGTAGAACTACCATATGATCTAGCAATCCCATTTCTGGGTATATGCCCAAAGGAAATGAAAACAGGATTTTGAAGAGGTATTTGCATTCCCATCCACGCTCATTGCAGCATTATCCACAATAGCCAAGGTAACGGAAACAACTTAGTGTCCATCAACAGATGACTAGATAGATGAAGAAGATCTGGTGTGTATATATACCGTAGAATATTGTTTAACCATGAGAAAAAAGGAAATGCCACTTTTTTTTAATCTGTCTAACAATGTAACATATGATTAAGTTGATATTTCAAATCAATGGGTAAAATAAGGCTTATTCAACAAATAAGGTGCATGGACCACTATTACCTGAAATAAAAGAAATAAAGAGCCCTGTTTCACACAGTATACAAGAAATATTCAGGTGAGTTAAAAATCAATATGTAGAATCTAAGGAATTTTAGGAGAAAATACAAACTAATATTTTTCTTACCCTGAAGTAAAATATTCAAACCCAGCTATAAAGTAAAATATTGTCTATGTTACTATATTAAGCACTTAAGGCTGTCCAGTAATATACATATAAAAAAAGTTAAAGGACAAGTATTAGAATAGGAAAGTATTTGCAGCACATCTAAAAAAGGGTTAATGATTTGTTTTATATTTTGTTTTAGGGAAAAAATTCTACAAATATTGAATCAAAAAATGGATACAAATACCAAAAAGTCATTTAAAGCTTTATAAAAATAATAGAAATAAGCAAGAAATACAAAAAAACAGGTTTAGTTTCAACAAATAGTAAAGGAACAATTAAAATAACACATCATTGTCACAATCACAGTAATACATATTAAAAAATATTGGTAATATCAAGTATTGGCAACTGTGAAAGGAACTGAGTATTCATAGACTCTTTTTCCTCATCTTAAAACAGTTCTTTAGCATATTTTGCAGTGCTCATTTGGTGGAGGTGTATTCTTTTAGTCTTCTTTTGTCTGGGAAACTCCTTATTTTGCCTTCCATTTGAATTGTGAGCCTTGCTGGGTAGAACAGTCTTGGTTGCAGGCCTTTGCTTTTCATTCCTTGGAATATTTCTTGCCACTCGCTCTGGCTTGCAGTGTTTCTGTTGAGAAGTCAGCTGCTAGCCATACCGGGGCTCCCTTATATGTTACTACCTATTTCTCCTTTACTTCTTTTAGGATTCTCTGTTTGTCATTTGATATTTGTCACTTTAATGATGATGTGTGTTGGAGTGGGCCTATTTGGGTTCTTCTTGAGTGGGACCCTGTGTGCTTCCTGGACTTATGTGACTTTTTCTCTCCTCCATTTGGGGAAGTTTTCCATCATGACTTTTTCAAACAGGTTCTCTATGCCTTCTCCATCCTCTTCTCCTTCCGGTATCCCTATTATGTGGATATTACTACGTTTCAGGCTGTCCTGCATTTCCCTCAATGCCTCTCCATTCTTTTTGAGTCTTTTTTCATTTTCTTGCTCTTTCTGGGAGCTTTTTTCTACCTTGTCTTCCAGCTCGCTGATTCCATCCTCGGCTTCATCTATCCTGCTTTTGATTCCTTCGATTGTGTTCTTCAATTCAGAATTTGTATTCTCCATTTCCTCTTGTCTCTTATTGATAGTTTCTATGTCCTTTTTCATGCTGGTATAGTTTGCAGTAACTTCCTCATAGTTTCCCTGTAGTTTTTGGTCATTCTTTCTGAGCTTACTGAGCTCATTGAGCTTCCTTGGAACCGTTATTTGGAACTCAGTTTCTGATACTTGCCTCTATTTCATTTAGTTTTCTTTGTGGGGATTCCTCCTTTCCCTTTGAGTGGGGCACATTTCTTTGTCTTCCCATTATTTGTGAGACTCTTCTTTTTTGCTTCTGGTTCTTAAGTTGATCTGTCTTGATTTCCTGACTTTGTGGTGTGAATTTCTATGGTAGGAGACCGTTGTTTTTACTTTCTGGATCTGCCTCTGAGGATGTCCAGTTTCATCCCTGTCTGATTTTAGGCAGTCTGATCGAGACTTCCAAGAATCTACTGTTTGTGGCTGTCTCCTTCAGCTGTTAATCTAGTCACTCTGCAGCCAGCAGGCCGCCTTAGACAGCTCAGTGCGAGGCCGAGTTGCTCCTGGGGGCGGGGTTATTGGGTCCTCTCATGCTGCTGCCCTGTGTGGGAGGAGTCAGCTCTGGGATCCCACGGACTACTCTCTCCCTTCTCTCCCCAAAGCCTCTGTTGCCAGTCTCTCCTCCAGTGTCTCCAGACCGCTCTGTGCCCCCTTTATCCAGAGATCTACCATCTGTGGCTGTCACTCTGCATTCAGTAGGCCGGAAATACCACTTTTTGCAATGGCATGGACCTTGAGAGCATTATGCTAAGTGAAATAAGTCAGACAGAGACAAATACTGTATGATATCACTTGTATGTGAAATCCGAATAACTCATAGAAACAGGAGAGTGAAGGTTACAAGGGATTTGGGTTTTAGGGTAAATGGGGAGATGTTGGTCCAAGTGTACCAACTTCCAGTTATAAAAGATTAATAAATTCTGGGAACCTCATGTACAGCATGGTGATTATAGTTAATAATATTGTATTATATACTTGGAAGTTGCTGAGAGTAGATCTTAAATGTTCTCACCACAAAAAAAAATGGTAATTCTGTGACCTGATGGAGGTGTATATTGGTAATCATTTTGCAATATATAAATATATCAGTATCTTAAGATTGTATGCTTTAAACTTACACAATATTATGTCAATTATGTCTCAAGAAATCTACAAAAGATAAAGTATTTACTAAATACCAAGTGAAAAGAAGAAATAAATTGAATGGCTTTTTAAGTATATCAAAAATCAGGATTTTGAAAAAAATTGAGCCATGAATTAAACTTTGATGTCTTAACAAAAGTTGTGTTATGCAGTGTAGTCTCATTATATTTTATTCCGTTGCTTTGGTACCTAACTCATTACTTCCCTTTTCTCCATGTTTTCTGTAAGGTATTTGAAGCAGTAATTGCTTGGGTGAACCATGACAAGGATGTAAGGCAAGAATTTGTGGCTCGGCTGATGGAACACGTACGGTTACCTTTGCTCCCCCGGGAATATTTAGTTCAGGTAAAAGCATATGCAAAACATGTGAATACATGGAGCATTGTGGCACTGGGCTGACCACATGTAGATCTTTGTTACAAAATGGTAAGAGTTACAGGATACAGATCCATGGGGTGCAGGGCCTTAGCAGCTGCTCACTCTCAGGCCATCCCCGTTCTTGGAATTTTGTCTCCCCTAGAGCTGATCAAGGTGGTATTGTGGTCACTTAGGCGCAAGTACACGAATGCACCCGTGGCTCTGCCGCCCTGCTCTGCATTTTCCTTTCAGGAGCCTCTTTTGATGGGCCTGCAGATGCAGAATTTCGGTCTTCTCTTCAAATACTGTTTAATTCTACTGAATCTCGGAGTGGCACATATTTTAATTGCTATCTTTATTTCTAAGCTGAGGAAAACCAGATTGTTTAAAATAGATAGGTATAAATGGATCTTTAGTAGTCTCTAAACAGATTTTAAGTTTATTTTTTTATTATTAGTCTCTAAACAGATTTTAAGTTTACTTTTTTATTATTAACATCCTACTAGGAACATTTCAACATTTTTATAATTAAAACCATTTGAAGAAACATTTCTTTATTAAGAGATTAGATCTGAGCATTGTAGGATTTCTCAAAGCCTCATTATTTTTTATGATCTGTGTAATCATTGGCACTCTGCTGTTAAGAAAATAAACAGAAAAAAATCCTGTTCTGCCTTTGAGGTCAGAGATAGCAAGGACAAGACTTATTTATGGTGTAAGGACATTGTTATAAAGTATTTTGAATCCCTTTTCTGGATATTTTATTTGCCATCCCTGAGTTTGAAAAAGGTTGTCTTTAACTTATCAGTTTTACCTCCCCCACCTGAAGGATTCACCTAAATTTTTTTCTTGTTTTTTGTACTGTTTGGCTTGATGTTTAAAGGTTAGAAATAGGTGGATATCGTATTATCTAAAGATTATTTTGTAGCTGATATTGAAGTATATAATTTTCATTGCAGTTCATTATTACTTATACATATTTTTTTCGCGGACCAGTTATTGTAGCATTTTTTTGGCTTCATTCATTTTTCTCAGTGACATTCTAACTATAACTTTTAGACTGAATTAGAGAGGATAGGTACTGCTTTTTTTCTTCTCTTTACTTTTTTTTTGGTCAGTATTATCACGAAATAGCTGTCCCCTCTTGGGGTTGTGTGATTTCTTCTTACAGAGGGTAGAAGAGGAAGCATTGGTCAAGAACAGCAGTGCTTGCAAAGATTACCTCATTGAAGCCATGAAGTATCATTTGCTGCCCACAGAACAGCGTGTATTAATGAAGAGGTGCGGACCCGACTGAGGACACCCATGAATCTTCCCAAAGTAGGAGCTATAATTCATACTTGTTATTACCTCATTTGAAAGGCTCTTAGTGAGGCTGCTAATATTTTTTACTCATCTGAATTTCCATGCTTTATTGTTTTTAATTTCCCTGCAACAGACAATGTATCTAGGAATTCCTTTCTGTGTATATAATTCAACCTCTCTATTATTTTTGTCTTTGGAAGGTGGGGATTGTTTGGTTCATTTAATTTTTATAAGCTGCATGATGTCACTCTTCTGGAATAAAGGCAGCTGGTTTTTGTCCCTTTTGAGTTTTATTAGTTCGAGTTATAGTAGAAGGGAAGATCACGTTAGGTAGAAAGATTTCTCTGTAAACCATGTGGGTTGGGTAATGACTGAAAACCAAGTAGTTTCACAGAATTGCATATTAGAGCTAAGGAGGGTAAAATAGCTTGTTTAGTTTATTTTTTGGTTTATTCCCTGTTATATGCTATTTGATGGTTCATCCACACATCTTATGGAGCCATTTTCAGTGTAGATTTCCTGTATGACTTTCCAGATCTCCAGTGTTCATATTTTCCTGTGTGGAAGTTTCCATATTCTACCTTTATATTTTTAGTTGAAGCCATTTGTGTTTTACTCTTTTAATTTTCCTTATGGAAAAACCCCTCATTTCTGTCTCTCTGTTTGCAGTTCCTTTTCTCTTTGCACGTTTACGGTACTAGAAGACCAACACTCTAAGCACCATTTTGTCTGTGGTCTAATCAGAATGATTCATGATATAATGCTTTTATCTGTGTATTAATTTTTAGCTCTTGTGTATGGTTGGGGCAGCGATGGATTAAGAAATAAGAATTACTCTGTTATTCATTGCTTTCTTACCTGATCTTTGGTTGTGAATCTATCCTTTCCATTAAATTATGTCTTTTAAATTCTTTTACTTTAATGCTCTTATTTAGTGTTTTTTCAAGTTTTATTTTTAGAATCTACATTTTTAATTGCTTCAAATCTGTATTGGTATGGTATTGTTTTTTTCTGCTTTACCTAGTGTTAACAACAGTTCTGGATTTAGAACTAACAGCATATTTTGCCAGTGTGCTATTTACTGCTTTTTCTAGATCATTAGTAAATAATTTAATTTAGAATGACCTCAACATTCTCCCTGGTGACACCACATTAAAAATACCCACTCACTGACATAGCCCCTTTTTAGAAAATTTCAGTCCATGTGCTTATATTTATTATCGAAGCCAAAAATAAGCGATTTGGCATATGATGTCTGATGAGATTCAGGGTGAAATAGATTCTAATTTGGCATGATTTTTAAAAATATCTCTCTGTGTGTTACTCAACATTTTGTTGGATCCTAGAAGTTTGAAAGCTTTTCTCAAAATATTCTACATTTTACTCACAGTTATCACTTTAAAGGTATTTACAAGGCATTCACATCCTACCCTATTTCAAAAAATTGGTATTTGCCTTTTTTAAATTTTCTGATCTCTCCTCAGTTCTCCAAGATTTTTCAAAAATAATTGTAAGTGGCTCAGTAAGTACCTTAGCTAGTTCCCTTAACACCTTAGTGTGCATGCCATCTGGGTCTGCTGATTTTATAATGTTTACATTTTCCAAATACCCTTCTACCTGCTTTTATAAGTAGCCATCTTTATAAGTCTTCATTATTTCATATTTGTCCATTTTATTTGGTGTCAGTTTTTGCTCATACAAAAACAGATTTATAAAATTGTTCAAGTCTTAGATCATTTAAATGACCACTTCTTTTTATGCTAGTCTTTTCAACGTCCTTTTAAAGTTCATTTTATCTTTAGTACTTTTTAAACAATTCATCGTTGTAAAAGATCTCTTTTAACTTGTATACTTCCTCTTCCGAATTCTTTAGTTTATATATCGTTAGCTATGCTGCAGAGACTTTGGGGATGAAAACGAATTCTTCAAGTATTTTATTTTCTTTTTGTCACGTTGTGATCATCTGTTAAGTCGACATTGTTTCTTGTCTTCTCTGGCTGTAGCGTTGGAATAGTGCTTCCATCTGTATTGTATTTTTGGATCTCTCAGTTCTTCAGCTTTTATTTTGTGGTGGTCACACTGATCCATAGCGATTCTCTCTTTTATTGTGCTCTGGCAGGGAGAGCAGCAGAAGTGGCAGAGTGAGATACATTGTTGCTTTGACTGTGCCTGTGCATGGTCCTGTCAAAATTTATTCATCTACATGTTTTTTGAAAAGGTGCTTTTGTTAGAGGCTGTTTCAAAAGCATTGTTTGTCATTTCAGAGTGGTTATATTCAAGGTGAATTCTAAGTATGTAGGTAGGAATGAAACAAAGATTGATTTCTTATGCTCACATATTTCATCATAATGATGCATTATATCATAGTACTAAGTCACACCAGAGAAAAATGTGGCATTAATGCTGAAGAAAGTATTGCATCGTTTTGATAACATTTCTACCACCACAGTGACTTAGTACTTTTTATATTAGGCTCTGATTCTGTGGACACATACTAATTTGCATGAATGATTCTTTTTATACCTCAAACATTAGTTTTGTATCTTCAGTAAACAGTATTGGGATTGTTTAAGGTACCTTGGACGTTGTAATAAAAAGCTGTATGTTTTGCTACTGTACTTTATTGTTAGTTTTTCCTCTTTGGAATCTATTTATAAATGCTATTATATTATTTCTTTGTATATATTTTTATGTTTTATTCAGGATATTTATTGATATTTGCAACTAGAAAATTATGGAACTTGTTTTTTTTTTTTTTTTTTGTTTTTTAGGGGGGGCAGTTTTTAAACTAATATCTATTATGTGAAGAAAACAAATAAAGTTTAATTGACCTACATTGGATAGTCACTTGAATTTAACTCCTACCCCGCTTGCCTTTCTTAAGTATGTCACATTTAACTTTTCCATACATAAGTTCTTCCTGGTTTTTCTAATTCTTTTACATTAGTGTAATTAGTTTAGCGTTTTCAAATGAAATTGGGTGTCTTTTAGAAATAACGTAACCAACCTCTTCTGATGTAGCGCGTGGATTTTGCAGTTTTTTGTCTTATCAAATCTCCCATTTCCTTGCCATTAAACATTCTTTTTTTTTCCCTGTTGTCTCTGATTCCTGGACTGACCCTGTCCCTCATTTCTTCTTTGGAATGTAAGACAGCACTACACCACCCTCTGTGCTCAGGAGCATTTTCCTTTTTGGTCTCTTTTGATGTTGCAAAAGTGAACTATTACATGGATCCAAGAGTCAAAGCTTGAGGAACAATCAGTATTCAAGAAACAATATTCTCAAGAATTATTTTGATATTTCCAGTTGATCTTTAGCAATTTCAAGCACTCTGTCAGCAACTGTTGTCCTAACTGTCAGGCAGTTTAAAGTTTAAACGCCTGAGCTTATGTAAATCCCTACAACGTTCGTTGTACTGTATATTTTACTTCTGTGATTTTCCTTTGGTGATCGGTAGGAGGGTATTGCAGATTTTTTGTTTTTGTTTGTTCTTTCTTTTCTGTGTTTATTCAACACTAGAAGAGACGAGATCTGTTATGTAACTGGTCCGTCTTCAGTCTTCTTTAAGCCCATAACATTCTACTCTCCAGTTAATAAATTACTAAAATAGGCTTCATTTTTGGAAACTTGGGGTTTACTTCTGATTGAGGAATGATGTTTTCCATGTATCTTCTGTAGCTTTAAGTGGTAGGTAGGTCATTGCTCGTCAAGGGTTGCAAACCTCCCCTTTTTGTATGTGGAAGGTCCTTCCGTCTTTTTTTTGATTTTGTTTTGTTTCTTTTGAACATCTGTTTTCTTTCTACTCCATCACCTCATCTTTCTCCGTTGTCCTTTGTCATTCTTTTCAGTATTCCATACAAGCGTCATTAGCTTTAATGTTTGTAGGCTGTATTTTTAGTGTTACCAAGGTGTGCATGTTTGCACTCAATGAAAGACAAACACATTAACTAACTAAATTCCATCATCTCGCACAGGGTTCCCCCCCTGAAGCTTTCACTGATCAGTGCAATTAATGTCTAAGTAATCATACAGCTTTTTGATACATATAATTGTATTATTGTCTTTACAATTAGCTTTATAGGTCTTTTAGTGAGATTTCATAAGCTTGAGGGGTATATTTCATGTCTTAACATATCTTGTGTATATTACATTATTGTTCTATAAATATAGATGATATGCACTTATAAATAGTTGTTGGGATTGAGTTAATGAAGAAATATATAGAATTTATTTCAGCCCGAGATTATTGTACATTCATTTATTCATTCACATGAATCTCTAATTTCTCTGTTAATTGTCCTATTTGCGGGGCACAAGAGGAGGTCCCCTTTATTTGATATGCAGGGATATCTCGTTTTATGAATTTCCTGTGTCAATTTTCCTCCTCATTTCTCACTTGCCCCATCTTCACTTCCTTTAATATCTTGTTTCAATTACCTACTCCACTAACATAGTTTGTAGAGGCGACCTCGACCTTGAGCAGTTGTGATCCGATCATTAGCAAGCCCTATGATATCGTTTGCCTTTAAAATAGTAAGCTGCTTCGCTGTTTTTCGTAAGTTTAAATATCGCTTTTGCTTTAAGATCAGAATTATCTAGTTCTTGAAATCCTGTTTTATTCAAATAAAAGGCAGAGAATTGTATTCTAATTCGTGCTCTCCTTGCTGATGTTTATTAAATGTCGTGATTGTGCGGTTGTTTACTCGCCATTTTCCCATTCACTTCAATACTACCGCGCCTTTGCTAGACATTTAATCCCTCGAATACAACGCTGGTTGTTCAGCGTTTCATTTCTGCCCTTCCAGTTGCGGTGGCGTCACGGGTTTATTTGTAGTTTAATGTTGATTTTTGATATATAATTCGCACTGGTATAAAGAGCTTTCAAGGAGATGGTACATTCTCCCGCAGGGTCATTGCAGTTTCCGTAGTTTTATTTCCATAATAGAAGAATTTTCATTACAAGCTTTGATTAACTGCGGGTTGTAACATTTATATTATACAGCCATTGATGGGATATTGCTCTTATTTTCATCTTAACATTATTCTCCTGATTCAATTAGTATAAGGTGCAATAACTGTTAATTTGCCGGGATATTTCAATTGCTTTTGCTGACAGGTTGAGAAAGGACTTTTAGTTGGGACCCCAGTTTTAGGAGATTCCCAACTTAGCCAGCATAGCCGTTCCTTTGTCTGGTACCTATTTTCATAAACATTTGTTAAACTAGATATTATATAGCAAAAATTCGTAGCCAGGGGTGCAGTTGCTAATTTCTGTGGATTTTCCTGAGTTTCATATCATTTGATCCACATCTTGCCTCTGGTAAAATCTGGGTGTGATGAACATTTCTTTCATGGTAGTGTATCTTGAACAGCATTATCTTGGGAGACTGCCACGCTGAGTTACCTCATTTTAAGATAAAACAGTTTTTTAGGAGTTCTGGATATAGTATATTTTTTACTGGTTTTTCTGAACGTTAAAATTGTTTTACATTATAAGGAATAGGGTTACTAGTAATTAATTATATGTCATTAAAAATAGTTAATATGGTGAAGAAATCCTAGAACTGTATTGTGCTAAATCTAAAAGGATACCCTGTTATACATTCAACCTAAAATATGAAGCTCTCATAATTCTAACACGCTGTAATTAAATATTTTGAGTTTTACCAGTCTGGGTAGGTGAAAATGTGATTCATTTGTTTTGTACTTTTTGTTATATATAAGATTTGAATTGTCAGCTCATCTGTTTGAATTATTTGATAGATGATTATATGTTATGAAAGTAGTCTTTTTGTCTGTCATATATGCTGTGAATATTTATATTAACTTTTCATTTGATTTGTTAGCTGTTTTTGCTCCATGTGTAAAATTTTCACCAGTATGAGTCCCTGTACATCAGAGACCCGTGGACTTATGATTTTGTTTCAAGGTGTAGAGTACCTACTCCAAAAATAGTTGTATGTGTGTGTGTGTACATACACATGCTTTTTAAAAAAATTTTATGTTTAGTATTGTCTTAACATTAATTCTCAAGAATTCTGAAGGTAGTAAATGAGTCCTAGATACTTTCCTATTCATAACTGTGAATAGTTGTCAAAATCAAGAGTTAGATGCCATTATTATAATCATTTTCTCAGTGGAGTTGACTGGGGCTTACAGAAGGTGAGAGCTGATGAGAACAACAAGATGAAAGCTCATAAAAGTGGGAAGGCGGCCAAACCTTGTCTAGCAACATGATTCTCTGCCTGGGGATCACCTGTCGGCCTCTTTCGCAGTCAATTAGGAGAGTAAGTTGTTCATGTTTTGTGGGCTGCATGGTTCTGTGCTGTATTAAAAATGCACTGTAGTGCAAAAATAGCATAGACACTATATAAATGAGAATGGTTTGGGCTGTGTTCTTACAAAACTTATTTATGGATGCTGAAATTTGGATTTTGTATATTCTTGTATTTATTTTTTAAAATATTTTAACCACTTAAATATGTAAAACCATTTTTACCATGGGGTCCCACAAAATATTCGGTATGATATAATTTATTGACTCCTGATTTTTGGGGGCCCAATTAACGCAAATTGGGAACTGGGAGTGACAAGAATCAATGTTTTTATAAACATATAGAAAAGACTAGTTCTATGCCATGGGAGATGCGCACAGATTGTATGAGTTTCAGCTCGCCATTTGGGTCTGCAAATAGTTCCTGAAAATGCCAAGAGTCAAAATAGGGATCTCAGCCCATGCTTTTTAATAACTTAGAAAGGAGTGACAGTTTTAGTCTCACATATAGTCTTTACAGTTAGAACAGTTATTTCTTGTGATCTATCTCAGTCAGATTCTCAGGATAACCCTATATCTGACAACACCTAGATTATATTGAGTAAATTTGTATAGGGTGAGTAGTTTTGGTCACATATTCTCATAAACTGCTCTCTTTCTTTTTTTGTAGGATGGTCTATTATGGCTGACTGGCCTTTGCTGTAGGTGTGACACGGTTCTCATTAATCAAGACCGTGAGATTCTTGCTACTCCCACCCTGCAAGACAAGGGATTGAAGCGGCAGATAGGTGAGATCGAGAAGGAGCTGCTTGATTAAATGGAGCTGTGGAGGCTACTATATTCCTTTCACTTTTTCATACTGTTAGAATTAACATGGGAGATCGTGAGCTCTAGAATAAATCATGGCATAATTAGAGATATCTGTTTTGCTGTGTACAAGGTTTGTGTCTCATCAAGAATTTCAGGATATGAGGGTATGATATAAATTTCCTTCTTATCAGTATCATCTTTACTGCTGTGTTAAGTAGCTGTTGAATATTCTGTTTATCACTTAATCAAGGTGTTTACACACCTATCATTTTTCTCTTTTAATTTTAGTTCAGTTTAATATATCATTTTTAGTTGTTCCTTAACAATTTATCAATATATAAAGGAACAATATGTTATATTTTTCTGAGGAGGAATGAAGAGCATTATGCTTTATTTACAGGTTTGAAACGCCTGCGGAGATACACATCGCGTCTAATGAGTGGTTTGACAGTACTCCATGAATACTTGGTGAGAGCAGCGTTGGTGTCGCGCTGTCGTGAGGTAGGGTGCTGCTCCTGCAGGTGAACATTTTCAGGTACACGCGTTTGTTAGAGTGGGTCAGTCCTCTTACACTGGCAAGCAAGGGTCACCAACGTGGGAATCTAGTAGTTTTGTAAATTTTAATTATCTAAATTAGCCTGTGCAATAACCACCTGCGTCCTCCTTCACTCTGCCTCCTCCACTCTCATTGTCTCTCTTCCTCTCTCCCTCTTCTTCTGCCCTCTGCATGTACCTATATGGAACTGTTAACTGATGTTAATGCAATAGTTTGGGGAACAGACAGCATATACAAAGAGCTGCTTCAATATTTGGTGGGTGGGTTGCCACAATTGTTTATTTGTTATCTTCATTTGTCCCCCCCAATAAAATTCTAAGAAAGGTTATATATTTTTGCGTGGACTTATCTATCTATTCTTATCTATCTATCTATCTATCTATCTATCTATTTTCTGGGTACTTTGTAGTTACAGTTCTCCCCACTGTGATTCTATCTATTCATCTATTTATTTATTTATTCATTTATTTATTTATTGCAAATTTGTAATAGCCGTGCCCCCCCGCCCGTGGGTAGTATTCTTCGCACTATTTTTAAACAGTTTATTGAGAGATATAAATTACATGTTGCAGCTAGTCTACCCACTTGCGCAAGTTCAGCATACCCATGACAGACATTTTAGAACATTTTATTTCAGTACTTATTCTCGTGATGCTCATCCGCCTCCCAAGAGCTGTCAAGTAACCACTGCCTCCTTCTGTCTAAATTCGAGATTGACGCTTTCATATTGAATCATGCAGTGGTGTTCTTTGTGACTGGCTACCCTGACCTAGCATAACAGCTTTTGGCTTGCTGTAGCATTTAATAAGTATCTCATTTCTTTTGTTTAATTTGTTTTTTAATCTAATTAAGATGTTTTTGATATCTAATCTTCAGGGTGCTTCTTCAATTTAATAAATAGTGTTATCCAAAGATTGATCTATATGTTTTTATTCTGTCAGATTATTTATTTTATGTTAAATTAATGTCATCATATATTATTGATGAAATGTTAAATTAATGTCATCATATACTTGCAGGATTCATAATGTGATTTGAACTCTATAATCTCAGAAGTAAGATTTATAGTCCATAAAAATCAGCAACACTTTTACAGGGTACATGGATAAAAATATATCTTTCTCTGAATCTGAAAATACCCCTTAGAACGCGGCTTTTTAGATCTCCGTTTAGGTTTGTTGTATATGTAGGGGGTTATGATCGAGCTCGCAAACTCGGTTAGTCATAAGAAGGGTCCATAACGCTACAACAAACGAAAAAATTCCATGTAGTACTTCACGGAAAGGGCAGGGTGAAGAACCTCAGCTAGTAATAGCATGAGCGAAAGAATTAAACAAGGAAATGATTTCGACATCTCCCATGCTTTCAGAAAATGCTACTGCTCCAGTAACCTTTTAGAATATGTTTGAATTTATTAATAATAGGTAGATAATTGCACCTTAAATTTCACTTGGTAAAATTTTCTGAATGCACAAAGGGGCCTCTTCTTGTTTCAATTTAATTATTTATATATTTGACATTCTTTTTTAGTTCGTTAGCCTTTTAGTAAGCTATTGAGAATCCTTGTCAATCAGTCTTTTTCATATCATTTACAAATTCTGTGTTTCAATATTTTGCTACGAAATTCGACTGCGAGACCAGAGAGTTCACAAGACAACACTTCGCATTAGAGTTTAGTAATGAACTTACGCATAAGGTGTATCTATTGCAGTTTAGACATCGGTATCCTCCCTGCTACTCCCGGCGCACGCTAGCGGTTGTGACCCATGCCAGATAAGGAGAAAATGTTCCACGCTTCGCGGGTGACAAGAGGTTCTGGGATCCAGCACCTTAGAAACAGAAGGGAGCGCTCAGTAGTTTCTGAGTGGAATTCCACGGTGAAGGAATCTCTGTTCTGGGAATAGTCTTCCTCCGCACATTGGTTTGCTTTTATCATGAAAGTTGTTTTCAAAACGCATGATAACAGCCTCCCTTCCGTCACCTGCCTACTATATTTATTCTATTTACTACGCAATTCTTTTATACAAATTTTATTGTTATTTGTTCACTATTTCCTTTCTTTGGTTGCATGCTTTAATATGTTTCTTTAAATATCCACTTACTTATGAATAATAATTTCAAAGTTTGGATTACAAGTTATTTGAATAAATAAACCCAAATATTATAAATCTTCTACTTCTTTTACTCTACTAATTCTTTGTTTTGTAGGTGTTGCGTAAGCAAATACTTACTGTATGTTGTGGGTCATGATGTTTCAGCATGTGCCGCTGAAGTGTATGATCCCACCACTAATACTGAGACAGGCCAAATATGTGCGTATGGAATGGTGTAATCTGTCTAGTTTACAATTACACAATTTATATTTTTGTATTTTATAGTTTTACTAGAACTTTACCAGTATCATTTTACTGTTTTCATCGAATCTCGGGTTCTTGGTTACACTATGAAGGCAGGTCTTTATGTAATAATCCTATCAGCATTAGAAAAGTAAATGCTTAGCATAGGTAATCAAGTTACAGGGCTGCTTGAGTTAATTTAAAATTTCTCCTTGTTGCAAATTTGATGATGAATGTAGAGACTAAATCAGAAGAAAGTTCCTCTTTATTTGATATTGAAATTTTCTATTCGATATTTCATTCTCGTTAAACATTTGTGCTGCCACTATATATCATGTACTAGTTACTTCTGAATTTTAGTTTAGTTGTATAAATATTTATAACAGATTAAAGGCTAGTGTCTATCTTAAATTGTAAATTCAGTTAACCCCGATATAATATAATTCAGGATTCTAGAAATGGAAAAGCTAAAACAACAACAAATAATTTTAGAAAACCGAGATCTTTAGGAAATTAAATACTTCGAAAAGACCCATGCAAGGGACATGGTCGGTGGCCGATTTAGGGCGGTATGTCTGAAATGCTTGTTCTTTTAAAATGTCATTATCTTTCATTATTTTCCATTGTCCAAAAATAGTTCTGATGGATTCTCAAACTCAGTTACTGGGCGGACATTACAAGATGCACACCCTTAATTTTCCTTTAATTTAAATGTGATTGTGAAATATGTGAGACTGCAAAGACCGTCAACAATCAAGAACAGAATTTATAATTATCAAACTCGCATTCATCTAATCATTTGTGGCCAGAACCCTAGACTAAGTTGTTGATAGTCTGGAAATATGGTAAAGACCTACAAGTCTGGGCCCCAGGTAGAATGCTGTTTGACTCCCAGCATGTTATTAGAAAAAGTCACAGTAGTGTGCATGTGTCTTCCCTGATTGGGAAATCTATTCTTCCTAATTATTTGCAATTTGAACTTGTTTCCTCATTGTTTTCCTGAGATTATTTGGGACAAACTTGTTTTACATTTTCAAATCAGCAAAATTATTTCGATGCAGGCTGAAGAAGGTACCTAGCAGTGAGCAATCATTGCCTCTGCTTCCAGCCAAGTATTTGAATCCATTTTGTAAATGGTATGAATTTGCTCTCTGCCAAAGAGACCGAATAGTAACACAGCCGAGTTTTGAGTAAAGATCCGCCTATTTGGTACAGAAGATACTATTGTTATGCGTTTTGAAATGCCAGAGAAGGGGCCTATTGTTTGTACCTGCAAGGACCTGTTAATTGGCGCTGTTAGAACAACTGTGTACTGCAGACGGTAGCAGCATCTCCTCTGATCTTTTGTCTTCTAGTACCACTTCACTCTGAACTTGGGTTTTAGAAATAGTCATATTTCTATAAAAATAGGAAATACAGGTTTATCTTAGCTGCAATTTGCAAAAATTTATTAAGAAAATTTTATATTATATTACATAAGAAGTTAAAGTATGCAGAGGGGTCCTCGTTCTTAATATCATTGATAAGAGTAAAAATAATCCTAAAAATAATTTAATATCTATTAGTAAGAAAATAATACTAATTTCAAAGTTAATACAAATTATATATCATCATAAATATTTGTCACTTTTGTAGATCTATATTTATTAATATTAACTTCAGGACATGTCCGCTATGTTCGGTGGAAAGTGCGGAGTCGCTGGCAACGTATATCATGTCTATTGCACCAGTATTCGAGACGCATTTATGAGGACAAAATACTTTGAAAATTGCTAAAGGAATACAAAAATAAAAGCAAGTACTATATAAATGATACAGTAGAGTTTAACGTTAGATACTCACGCATAAAGAATAAGAATTTCTTCTGGTCACAATTTTCTGTCTTCCTTCAAGGAGTGCTCCTGATCACCTCAAGCATGCGGTGATATTCATACTATCCAAATTCTGTAGCCAATTGCTTTCTTCTAATTTTTAAAGGCTTAAAAAAGGCCAATGGCTGTAGTTGAGGAGACGATGGCCCCTGCAATTTGGTTCGCAGAAGAATCCACTGACAAACGACAGTCGCGGTCATCTGTATGATAATAGAGAGTTGCTGGTAATAACTGTCTCATTTTCTTGATAAGTTTATTACAGTATAAATACTACATTATGATTTTTGCATTAAGAATCTGCTCTACTCCTAAGAAGAAGTCTTTCTCAAAATGTATTTTAATTTCCTATTGTTCTTAAATAATATTGATACATATTTTCTGAAATCGCTATATTTTTGTCTTCCTCATTACAATTTCGTATTTGAAACACAGATCTCATTGCACGCGCATGGGAACTCACCAAAAAATAGATCCAGCCACTCAAGTTAAACACCCCGGCAGGTTTCTTGTGATGGTGTCACAGTGACTAGGGTAATTTTCTTACATATAATAAGATTTTAACGATAAAATTAAAGATTTTTGTCTGTCCTTTCTAGTAGTCAAATTGTAATTATCTTTAATAAATATAATGAATCTTTAAACCGTATATACACATTCTGATGATTGATATTTATATTGCTTTAAATATTGTGGAATTTTTCAATAACATTCTAATATTGATTCAGTTGTGGAGAAAAA